GACACTGGACGCTGCCGCCATGAGCCCCAACACTCTCTGGAAGTGCTTCACAGTGATGGCTTGGCCTAGCCTCATCCCGGACACTGTGGTCAGGATGGACTCGATCCGCGCGGGAGACAATTGTGCCCGCATCGTTATCGAGTCCCACACCACTCCCAGGAACGTGGTTCTCTGGGCTGGTGTCAACACGCTCTTTTTCGTGTTGAGTCTCAACCCCAGGCTCTGGATGTGGGCGAGGACGACATCTCGATGCCGAACCGCCAGCTCCTGTGTCTGTGCTAAAATCAGCCAGTTGTCGATATAATTGAGCACCCTGATGCCCTGAAGCCTCAGCGGTGCCAGAGCTGCATCCATACATTTGGTAAATGTGCGAGGGGAGAGAGCTAGGCCGAACGGAAGAACCCGATATTGGTACGCTTCGCCCCCGAAAGCGAACCTCAGGAACTTCCTGTGAGATGGAAGGATGGATATGTGGAAGTATGCGTCCTTTAGATCTATCGTGACAAACCAATCCTCGGACTGAATTTGACTCACGATAATGGGAATAGTGAGCATCTTGAAGCTGAATCACCTCAGAGACCGGTTCAGGTGCCTGAGATCTATTATTGGACGCAACCCCCCATCCTTCTTGGGAACTATGAAGTAGCGGCTGTAAAACCCGGACTCCCTGTCCGGTGGAGGAATACGATCTATAGCCTCCTTTGCCAGCAGGGAGTTTACTTCCTGTTCCAATACCCGACCCTGCACTGGGTCGACTACAGTCCAGACCACCCCGTTGAATCTGGATGGGTGGGAACTGAACTGCAGCCTGTACCCATTTTGAATGGTGCGCAGGGCCCAAGGAGAAATATTCGCCAGATTTTTCCATGCATCGAAATATTTTACCAAGGGAACCAGGCCCTCGAGCCTGGCTTCGGGTATTAATCGGGATTCGTTCTCGGCCCCCTGAAGCGGATTCCCGGCAGGGCTGAACCGAAAACGATTCTCGATGGGCGGACGCGAATGCTGCCTGACCGCAAGCCTGTGGGGCGGACAGTGCAGCCTGCGTTCGCTGGATACCGATGTGTCCCGAAGCGTGTTTAACGGCGGGAGAGCAACATCGATTTCCTGCGGGCTCCATGAAGGAGACGACCTCGGTCGTTCCACCACGGGTGGGGCTGCCCGCAGAGATCCTAGACCAGCTAGGACCTCTTAGACGAAGCCTTTTTAGCCTGCAGGACGGCCCTCAGGTCACCCTGCTTCTGCTGAGGCTTCGCCTGAGCGCGCTGTCTAGGCCCCCAGGCTCCTTGAGGGGGGGCTCTAGACGCAACGCTCTGTTTTTGGGCCTGTCTATAGGCAGAGGAGCTGGAGGATGGCTGTGGCTGCGGCTGCCCACTGGGGGCAGACTTCTTGGACACCGAGCGGCGAGGGAGATATTGTTTGAAGGCCGCTGATTGCCTTTTCGCCTCCTGAAATCTGTCGACGACGGTATTAACGGCGTCGCCGCACAGACCAGAAGGCGAAATCGGGGCATCAAGAAGGAAAGCCCTGTCTTTCTCCTTGATGCCCGTCAGGTTTAACCATAGGTGCCTCTCCGAGACCACCATTGCCGCCATGAAGCGACCGACAGCGCGGGCCGTCTCCTTGGTGACTCGGAGAGACAAATCAGCGACCTTCCTCAACTCCGCAATATCCTCCGGAGTTGGACCCTCGCCCTCATCGATGTCCTTAAGAAGGTCGGCCTGATACGCTTGGAGCATAGCCATGGTGTGAAGACTCGCACCAGCCCGACCCGCAGCCATATAAGCCCTGCCCACCAGCAAAGATGTGTCTCGACATGGCTTAGTGGGCAGCACCGGGGCTTTAAGGGATGATGCCGATTCGGGAGATAAATAGTTAGCTAATGGCTGTTCAACCCGCGGCATCATCCCATAACCGTTCTCTCGTACCCCCATGATGTTACTGTAATTTAACACAGGGGGATTGGAAACACGAGAGGAATGCGGTTTCTTCCACGATTTACACAACTCGTTGTGCAAATCGGGAAAAAACGGCAAGCCCCGGTGATGAGGTTGTTCCCTGTGCTGCAGGAAGCGCTCATCCAGCTTACTTTTAGTATGCGCTTCCTGCTTATCTTGTGGCCATGTGATATTTAAATGGGCCACTGCACGGGAAACAACCTCCACCAACTCCTCATACGCGGGGACACGGGGCGGCGAGTCGTCCCCGAAACCCCCGCCCTCGATGCTGAGCACGTCTACCTCCTCGGAGGCAGACAGCTCGAGCATCGGATCCTCGACTCGCGCAGAAGCCCGCCCCGCGGGCTCGAGGACATCGGAACTGCCCGATGAATCCCGAGAAGGTGCCTCAGCAGCCTCGGGATCCCCGGACAGATCCATTTGCGAGCCCCATGAAGAGCGTCGCCCGCACCACGGGGCTCGCGAGGCTGACCATCTTCGTCGAAGATAGCCAGCCGGGAACGCAGCACACGGATTGTCATCTTATCACAATCCTCGCAAGCAGCCCCCTCGAGAGCTGCCTGCGCGTGCTGCATTCCCAAACAATGCGTGCACAGTCGGTGTGTGTCCCCGCCCGTGATGTAGCGAGGGCAAGGATGCACACACTTTCTGAAGCTCACACTCGCCATTCCACTCAGTTTTCAAACAGACAACAATAAATAGGACAGACAGTCACAAATAGCGCTTGCTGAAGAACAGAAAGCTGACATTTTGTTTTGCCGGCGTGCCTTTATAGTTCCGCCTGTGTGTCGTCACACACTACGTCATGACGTTGCACCAATCGGAGATCGGCTCAGTTTCATTCATGCTTCAGAGGCGCTACGCTGAGGGGCGTTCCCCCAAAGTGTCATTCGACGCAGTTGGAGTTCCCTCGAAAGGGAACTTTAAGTACATGTCTTGTACCTTTGTTCTTTTTTGTATTCGCAAATACTTTTTATCTAGGAAGTAACTCCTGTAATTTTGTGATTGGGAGCTGGTTGGTTTAGTTCATTAATCCGCTGAAATCCCTATAGAGAAAAGGAATGGGGAACAGCTTGCTGACGGCCACTGTTGAGCTCGAACGCTGGTTCAGATTACGCCATTTTGACTCCTAAAATATTGTGTAGTGCACAAGAAACATGTCAGACTACACGTTGCTTCCCAACCAGTCATTGTGTGCCGTCTCATACGCACGCACACACACACACACACACACTCACTCACTCAAACTCACTCGCTCACACTCTCTCAAACACACATACACACGCACACTCACACACATAAATGCACTCAGACACGCACACTCTCACTCACTCACTCACTCGCACACACACTCACTCAAATTCACTCGCTCACTCACTCGCACACACACACATTCACACTCACTTAAACTCACTCGCTCACTCACTTGCACACACACACATTCACACTCACTCAAACTCACTCACTCACACTCTCTCAAACAAACACACACACACACACACTTACATAGACAAATGCACCCACTCTCGCTCACTCACTCACTCACTCGCACACACACACACACTCACACTCACTCAAACTCACGCGCTCACTCACTCACTCGCACACACACACACTCACATCACTCAAACTCACTCGCTCACTCACTCACTTGCACACACACACATTCACACTCACTCAAACTCACTCACTCACACTCTCTCAAACAAACACACACACACACACACACACACTTACATAGACAAATGCACCCACTCTCGCTCACTCACTCACTCACTCACTCGCACACACACACTCACTCAAACTCACTCGCTCACTCGCACACACACACTCACTCAAACCCACTCGCTCACTCACTCACTTGCACACACACACACACTCACACTCTCAAACAAACACACACACACACGCACACTTACATAGACAAATGCACCCACTCTCGCTCACTCACTCACTCGCACACACACACTCACTCAAACTCACTCGCTCACTCACTCACTCGCACACACACACACACACACACACACACACACACTCACTCACTCAAACTCGCACACTCACTCGCTCACTCACTCACTCGCACACACACACTCACTCAAACTCACTCGCTCACTCACTCAATCGCACACACACACTCACACTCACTCAAACTCACTCGCTCACTCGCACACACACACTCACTCAAACCCACTCGCTCACTCACTCACTTACACACACACACACACACACACACACTCACTCAAACTCACTCACTCACTCACTCACTCACTTGCACACACACACATTCACACTCACTCAAACTCACTCACTCACTCGCTCACTCGCACACACACACTCACTCAAACCCACTCGCTCACTCACTCACTTACACACACACACACACACACTCACTCAAACTCACTCACTCACTCACTCACTCACTTGCACACACACACATTCACACTCACTCAAACTCACTCACTCACTTGCACACACACACACACACACACTCACACAAACTCACTCACTCACTCACTCACTCACTCGCACACTCACTCGCTCACTCACTCACTTGCACACACACACATTCACACTCACTCAAACTCACTCGCTCACACTCTCTCAAACAAACACACACACACACACACACACGCACACTTACAAATGCACCCACTCTCGCTCACTCACTCGCACACACTCACACTCACACAAACTCACTCGCTCACACTCTCTCAAACACACGCACACTCACACACATAAAAACACTCACTCTCGCGCACACATACACACACTCACTCACTCTTGACAGAACCCGTCGTGGAGGACAATTAAACATGCTAGTCTTTGTATGGTGATGTCGTGGGGTCGGTTGTAGTCCACTATGACACACTATACGAGATGAAGCGATCAAATCGTCCGTCCCGACGCCCGTCGTCGTTTCCGAATCCCCACGTCACCCTTCGTCAAACGGATCGTGCCAAAATGGTGTAATCTGAAGCAACGTGAGCAGTGGTGGGACTGTGATGCTGCTGTCCTGCTGTGTTCTTCAGTCAGGTCTCTCACCTCTCTCTGGGCGTCTGGTGGTTGGGGTTGTGGTGGCAGCGGATGCTCAGACCGAAGAGTTTGCGGGCCGTGCGCTGGATCTTCACTCTCTGGGCCTCTAGGGAACTCTGCAGGAGCCGATAGCGGTTCTGGAGGTCCCAGTCGCTGCCCCACAGCAGGTGCACACTGCTCACCGGGAGGAAATGGGTCGCCGGCAACCGCTTCAGAAAAGACTTGAACTCATCTAGAGAGAAGGACAGAGAGAGAGAGAGAGAGAGAGAGAGAGAGAGAGAGAGAGAGAGAGAGAGAGAGAGAGAGAGAGAGAGAGAGAGAGAGAGAGAGAGAGAGAGAGAGAGAGAGAGAGAGAGAGAGAGAGAGAGAGACAGGTGCTCATATAATGGAGGGCAAACGCATATCCACATAAACCACATATTGATACTTTGTGGGTGAAACCTGTTCAGAGTGATGGAGACTAATATTGACTTTTACGGACAAGGATTGATTTTAACCACAAACACTGTCGATACGATTACGTTAGAGAGCCTATGTGCTATTTTTCAAATCTTTCAGTGTCTGATGACTTTTAAAGTCATCATGCAAAGCCATTCGGCATGCATTTTGCTTGCGTAATGTGTACATTTCCAAGCGAAATAGGATATTCAATGAGTTATTAACTTAGAAAGGCTGCCTTACCTACAGATGAGACTCGACAAGTTAGAATATCATCCAACAGTTCATTTATTTCAGTAATTCAACTTAAAAGGTGAAACTAATATATTATATAGACTCATTACATCCAAAGTGAGATATTTCAAGCCTGTATTTGTTATAGTTTTGATTTAGTTTCACCTTTTAAGTTGAATTACTGAAATAAATGAACTTTTGCACGATATTTTAATTTCACCTGTAGAATCGGTCACACTTTCTTTCATAATTTTGTTAGTTTAATACCTCAACCAAGTTTAGTGTTTTGTTCTTCCCTCATATTTAAAATATATACAATATTTCCCTCATATTTTTATGGTTTAATCCTAAACCTCCAGACATCACTTTTTGGCCACTACTGTATATATTATAATAATATTTCAAGCCTTTATTTGTTATAGTTTTGATGAGTATGTCTTACAGCTTATGAAAACCCCAAATTCAAAATTAGAATATTGTGAAAAGGTTTTCATAAGCTGTATGGGGCATTTGCAGTATTGATTCGTCGGAGTAAAAAAAATTGAGAACCACTGACACTGAATATAGATTGCCATGGCAGAGGTAGAGCTGCATCTTCCACCAAATAATTACAAATCCAATGTTTGGAAACACACAAAGTCAGAAGGCACTTAAGTTCATTTATGATTTGCTGTCTGAACCAAAGAAATAAAAGCAAACTATCTGTACCATATTGAATTGCATAGCATCATATTTTTTTTGTCCAGTGCATTGTATATTGCATTGAATGGAATGTGCACTAACTTAGATGGGTTAGTACACAAAATGTTACCACATTTTACTTTCACTTTCACAAGCTAATATAGCTTCAACCCTATAGGCCTGGACCCTGCTTTAAACAAAAGATGTGTGTGGTGGTTCAGGAATCATATGACAGACGTAAGGCCGTCAGACATGCAGTAAGTGAACATGTCTGTAGCCCGCGGCACATACAGGGGAGAAGTGTGTGTTCGACTGCAGTCAAGGATGGGTGATGTCCATTAAAATACAGTATATGCAGCATGGTCATATTGGGGATGTTAATATTACGGTCTAAACATGCACTCGTGGTGTTCAACAACTCCACCTGCTTGTTTCCTTTCATGTGTTTGATATGCTATTAAAATGACAGTGTGAAATCTGAATCCATAAACCGCCTCAGGCCCGGGACTGTCTATACAGCGGCTGTGTTTATCGGTGTGTTACGTGATGAGAACTATTTGTCCAGAGTAAGAGGGAACAGAAATGAAAAGAATATACTTTTTAAATAGGTATGAAATATATATATTTGGACTTAAACCCTGAATCATTTTAGTAAACCCATTAACTGAAGTTTTAATTAAATTTTAGCCACTAATAAAATCCTGCAGTTCTGCTCTATACTCAGACATGAACCTGCAAGCAAGACTCTTGACTATTTAAGCCTGGTACATATTTTAGCTTATCCTGCAACAAAGAAGTTCATGAGTTATATATATATAGCAGAATTCTGACTATTCCAGAGAAAGTTGTTGGTTGATTTTGGCCAGTTTCCCTCCATTCAGAAGTGATAAGCACAACATATTCAGAGAAACAACTCTGAAAACAAAGCAGAATAATACAAGTCTCCAGGGATTTGTTGGCAAATGAATTAAGACATTCAATGTTTTTCCAAAAACTCTGCAATTAAAACAGAGCTTGCAAACTTCAGTATATCAAAGCAATTACTATTTATTTGTATTTATTTTTGGAAAATGCTTATTGTAAGATTCTGCTATCTACTTAAACTGTGTACAATGTGCACATTTTGAAACATGTTAATGTGTGTTTCTGTGCAGCGTTTGTCAGATCTCTCGTATCCTTTTACTGTATGTACTTTGTTGTCTGAATATATTTTTAGTTTTTAAATGTCATACTTGTTAGTTATAGTATCAATAATTTTGAAACATTGACTGCATAACACTGACAACTTTCTGATATAAAACGTTTCAATGTGCAATTGCCTTAAACTCATATTGTTCTCGTTCTCCTTGAACTTGTTGTGTGAGCGTGTGGATTCGAGTTCGCTCTTCTGTCCGCGTGTGTTGTGTTTTGTGTAGCATGTTTCCATGTTATGTGTGTTGTGTGTTTGTCTTGTTTTGTTGTGATCATGTTCGCCGGCCATGTGCTCTTGTTTTTGTTTTAAGTGTGAGAACTTGTCGTGTTTGTGTGCCACGTGCTCTCCTGTCTATTGTCTTAAAGGGATAGTTCACTTAAACATTAAGTTTCTGTCATCATTTACTGGCATTCTTCAAAATATCTTCTTTTGTGTTCAGCAGAAGAAAAAAAATTCGGTAACGCTTCCTTTTATAGTCCTGTTACCCATGTACTTACTATGTGCTTATTATAGTAATTATAATTACTGGGAAAAAACTAGGTACTAACCCTGAACCTACCCCTAACCCATGTACTTACCTTATATTAGCCAATACTTTCTAGGTAAGTACACGTAAGGAAGCGTTACCAAAAATTCATACAGGTTTGAAACAACTTTAGGGAGAGTAAATGATGACAGAATTGTAATTCTTGGGCGGATTAAACCCTTCTGGTTATCTAATTATTGGTTGATTAGTCCCACCTGTCCTCCATCTTTACCTGCCTTGTTTGCTCCCTATTTATTCTCCTTGTGTTTTCAGACCCGTGCCAGCTCGTTGTATAATGTATTTCGTGTTAACCTGCTCCCTGTTTAGTCCTGTCGAGTCCAGCTGGCGCCTGTTTTTTCCCCACAGGGTAGTTTTTGTTTATTTTGGGCATTTAATAAAGCCCATTTTCAGTCCTCGCCTCAACCCTCAAAGCCAACCCTGACACATATTCTATTATTTCATCAAAGGATGGTCCCACATCCACACATGTCTGTGCTAAGCCCTAAATATCCACATTGTTCCCAGGCAGTTATTTCTAGTGATGCAATTACAGCTCCGTCTACTTGAATAGGTGGAGACAGAAATAATGGTATAATCAGTTGTGCTCCTTAAAGGAATAGTTCACTTCAATATGAAAATCATGTCATAATTTATTCACCTTCATACCTGTATGGATTCTTCTGCTGAACACAAATGAAGATATTTTGAAGAATGTATGTAACCAAACAGTTGATAGGAAAAACAAATACAATGAAAGTCAAAGGGGTCCAGCAACTGTTTGGTCTAATGTGAGCATGCGTTTTTAATTACAGGTTGGCTCGCCATATTTAAAATTTCGATGTATCTCATTTTATCTCAACACTTTAGTCTGTATCCCCTGACCTATAACCTCTCCGGTGTGAGAGTGTGCTAAACGGAAAAGTGTTATTTTGTCTTCCTAATTATTGCTTATTTTATACTGTATATACAGCAGTAATGATTTTCTTACTGTAAAACGTCTACACACCCCTGTTAAAACAGCTGATTTTTTTGTGACGTAAAAAAATGAAACAAAGATAAATCACATCAGAACTTTTGTTCCCTCAATGTAAAATGTACAACTTATTTCAAAAATAACATTTGAAAATAACCAGTGTGCACCCTTTCATAATTGGGTAAATGTTCAGAATGAGCTAAAATTAGTAGCACATAAATTAGTCTTCACCTGAAGTGACTCTGATTAGCTCCAAATAAATCTCAGCTGTTCTTGTAAGATTTTACATCGTTACAAACTGTACTAGCATCTAAAAATAAATGTCAAGAGTTTCCAGGTGCCTCTGGGTCTTTTGGAGTGTATTTCTCAACTAATGTGTAGCATTTTCACTAAAAAAACCCCGGAGGCTTGAGAATGTAACTTGTGAATGACAACTCACGCCCGAGCCAGCTGATAAAATAGAGACGATCATACTCAGTCACACCTCAAAATAATGGCCTGGGTGATGATGATTTAAGAACTTATTGGCATTAAAGTAGGAAATTATTAACACGTTCAAACAATTATCACTTCCCTAATTCACAAGCTTGACATTTCAGGAGATTCATCAGTTCACGCAGCGTTTGCCGCTTGAGCGTTTTCTCCTCGGACCGGTCCAGAGGAATATTGCGCCGACCTTGAGGTTCACAGACTCAATTTGAGCGTCCTCTGCTCTATATAAATATATCGCAGTGTCTGGTTTTATTTGGACCTTTTATTACCGGTTAATAATATATAAGCTAGCGTGCTCATAAGGTGGATATTGAGCAATCACCTTGGGGAGTAACCTATTTTTGCTTTATGTTTTTTTGTTCAGAAATATTTGATCAGCGAGGTGAAAGATGTCTGTCGGCGTGTGAGTGGCATTAAATGCGATTTACCCAGGACAACGCTCACTTTCACCCTTTTACAACCATTCTGCAATGCTATATTAATAGTCGTTCGCAGTTAAAAATGTAAAACAGGGTTAAGCTATAGTATTAAAAGCACATTAACATCCTGAAGATCGCTATCTAGCTGCTGTTCTCCATCATATTTTTTTTTTTGGTTTTAACTGTATGCGGTTATGTTATTGATGCATGGACAGACCTTTTGAGTTCCTCATATCTCTCATACTATTCATTACTCCATTAAGTGGACTAATAAAGC